TTTAGCTTACTTACCAGGAGCAGAGACTCCAAACCACAGAGGAATCTGATACCAAAGAGCCCTTTTTCTCTTTTCTTTTGAATGTGCCGTTCTAGACTAGAGCCTCTTCTTTTCCCTGAGGTGTGGGTAACACTGAGCAGAAGACATAGGCTGGGGCTAGGGGGGACTTTACCGGGCAGGATAGCCTTTTGACTGGCTTCTACTTCTCAGCCTAACAACAGGGTCCTCCCTGACATTCTGGCCTGAGGACAAGGAGCCGGGTAATCCTGAGGCCCCAGGCCCTGAGGTCCGCCTTCTGCAGCAGCCACAAGGCCAAGTGCTAGGAAGTCCGGGCCCAGTGGGAGAGGACCTGACCCAGGCTTTTGGCGACTACGCCAGGGTGGAGCAGTGCTTGGGGCAGCTGGTACCGTCTGGGGATCTCGCCCCTAGACCTCTACGGGAGCAGCTTGGCAAGATTCGCCGCGAGTTGTTCACCATCCATCAGGCGCTGGCCCAGGCAGCTCGGCCGCTGGACACACCCTTGGACCTCTCAGTGAAGCGGGTGCCTGCCAAGGGGACTAAGGCACCTGTAGAGTCCTGGGGGCTGCCCGAGCCAAGCCCCATGCTGGCAAGGGGGGCCTCTGAGCCCTCCAGGATACTAGGTCCTGGACTCGAGCCTTTCTCTAGCCGCACCACCAAGTGCGAGGCTGACTCCAGCGTCCCTCCTCCTGCCCTCCCGCTCCAGGCCCCTGAGGACCATGGAATTCCTGGTAGTAGCTGGGGCAATCGTCTTGGGGCTGGCAGCTCCCAGACCCCTAAAGATACCCCAAGCTTGAAGATCCTCCCAGGGACTGAGGTCTGTCCACAGCCACCTTAATGCGTGGGCTCCTCTCCCTGGCCTGGGCCCCATTGTCTGGGCCTGTCCAGTGTCGGTGTGCATGCGTTCTGGACAGATGTTCCCCATCCCCCAACACTAGCCCATGGTAGAGGTTTATCTCTGGGGTCACATGGACATAGGAAGGTCATGATCTATTTATTGGACAGAGTTGCGGTCATTAAAACAGAAACCACCTTCAAACACCCTACTTGGGTTTCTTTCCTTTTCTGTCCCTGCATAAGCACCTGGGCACCCTCAAGGAAATGTCCCTGGCCTGGGCATCCCTGGGAGCAGTGTCTAGGACACCATACTAGGGCTCACCTTCGGCCTCAAAGTCCTTATTGTGGACTTGGTTCTTCCAAAGAGTCTGGGGTCAAGGGATGGGACTCAGGGAAGAGTGGCAGAGAGGCAGACATGTCAGGATGACCTGGTCTGTTTCAGCTCACAGGGGATGGGCAAGGACCCTGCTCGTCCTTGGGCCTGAATCCATCCAAGCAGACCAATGCCAGCTTTGCCTGTGGTGGTCAAAGCCTCCTGCCTTCTATGGCTCCAGGCTGCTCACCCGGTGTGGCCTTCCTGGGCCCCCCGCCAGTCCCTGCAGCCATGATAGGCATCAGTGGCCTTCACAGCTCACTGCTTCCCTCCCAGTACAGCCCTGCTCGGCCTTCCACAGGCCAGGGTGGGAGACAGCCAGGGAGGGTGGCTGGGGCCCCCCAGCCATAGCAAATTACTTTTCTCCCTGGGGAGCTGGGCTGTAGCCTCCATGCCCACCCAGGAATGCCCTGAAGTACAAGCTGCCCTCGGAGGAGGCACTGTTCTCACTGGGGCTGGACTGGCCAGGCTGGGGCCAGTCCAAACAGGACCTTCAGCTGCTCCATTAACCATCCACCTGGTGATAGCATCAGGTAGCCACCCCGCCGTGAGGCTTTGCGGGTGTTATTGGGGCGAGAGTTCTGGCTGGCTGGACCTGAAAGTTTCCTGGGGGAACCGCTGGGGGCAGAGCCAGGCCTCCGAGGAACCTCAATTCCTAAATCTGTACCCCCATGTACCTACTGTATCCTGGTTTCTGATCCTGGGAGGCAACATTGCCAGCTTGACCTCCTGGTGGAGGTGGCAAGAGGGTGACCAAGGTTTGTTCCTCACACAAAGGTCCTGCCTGGAGGGGTGGCCTATTGTTGTAGAGGACTCTGGGTCCCTTCTGGAGAGGGCAGGCTTGTCTGAGACTTTCAGCTATGAAGGGACAGTAGGAAGTGTCCAGAGTAAGGGTAAGGCCCAGGGGAAGACCCAAGCAGGAGGGTGCAGGCCTGGAGGCCAGGGACTCAACCTAAACAGCCCCTCCCTGCCTCCTTGCTCAACTTGTCCCTGCAGGGGACTTGTCTGGTGACTCCTCCCCTACTCCCTACCCCGCCACACAGACACACACCCAGCCTGTCTCTAACAACAGAGGCGTGAGTTAAAGTCCAGGGCAGGAGCCTGGTCCTAGGTAAGGGATATCCTGGTCTCTGTGGAAGGGGCAAGTGGAGAGCCCTGGGAGGCTGGGGTTTGGCTCACTCTCTGGTCAAAGCAGAGGGGCTATGTGTGGTGGTGGTGGTGGTGGAACACTAACAGGAGCTTAGGCCAACCCTGTGGGAGAATCCGAGGGCTGATGAGTTTGAGGGAAGTTGCTTATCTGTCTCCCCTCACCCTCCCTCCTAAGCTGGGATACAGTGATGCCTGCGATTTGGGCTTCAGAGCAAAACCTTTGACCTTCTTGCGTGGGTGGTGTCTCCTGGACCACTGTTGCACCAGTTCAGTAGGAGGGCGCCAGCACCCACCAGTCACCGTCAGCACCCATGGGTGTCCAACTCTTTTACAGCTGCGGGGAAGCCGAGACCGACTGACTTACTGCCCTTGGCCTCCCATCTGTCCTGACTCCTTGAGCTCCTGAGCCACCCCTACTTCTAGCCATCTACAACTAAGGGCCTGATCTCAGGCTGGACCAGCTTAGAGATGCCAGTCGCTCCCGGCAGCCCCGGCTGCTGGGGCAAATCCTGGTACCAGCAGGGGCTGCCGGGGGCCCCCGAGGCCTGCACTGCTCCCCAGATGGCCTGCTCTTCTTGACGGCTGGTGCTGCATCCTGTGTCCATGTGCTGGATCTTGAGGGACGATCCATTTGTCAACTACTCTGCCGCGTGAATAGAACTGGAGCCTTTGTTCCAGAGGATGTGGCCGTGACAGCTTCCGGGCTTGTGGTTGTCAGTGACCTCATCCATGGGGCCGTGTATGCGCTCCGGTACACTTCCCGGGAACCCCAGGGCTGCTGGGTGACTGTAGGCACATTCTTGTCCCCCCGAGGGTTGACTGTGGATGCCTTTGGCCACTTCCTGGTGACAGACTATTTGCCTGGAACTGTGCACAGCTTCATGTTGGGACCAACTTGGGAGACCCTGGCTCCAACCTCCATGCTAGGTCTAGAGGGCCCCTGTTGGGTAGGTCCAGGGCCTGATGGGGGCCTTGCTGTGAGTGAAGAATTTGGGGATGTGCAGCTGTTTGGCAGTGCCCACCAGCCTCTGGGCTCCCTGGGAACCCTGACTGGGCATAGCTTCGGCCAGCCAGCAGGTGTGTGCTCTGACTCGGAGGGTAGCATTATTGTGGCTGATGAGCAGAAGCACCAAGTAACCCTGTTTCCCCGGGTTGGGCCACCCATCTGCTTGCAGTTGGAGGGACTAGAGAGGCCCTTGGGTGTAGCCTGTGCTCCCCAGGGCCAACTGGTGGTGGCAGATGCAGGGGACAACTGCATCAAGGTGTACCAGTATCTTGGAGAGATGGCCTCAGGGAAATAGCCCCTTGCTATGACTGGCTAGCCCTGAGTCCTTTACACCATCATGGGAGATTGATGGGCTCCTGGGGGGCTGCTGAGTCTGCTCTGACACCTGGCCTTAGCAGGCCTTCTGATTTCCTCTTGGCACGGGCTCCCGGCTATGAAGCAGCCATGAATCACCACCTCCCCAGAAGGCACTAAACGGAGCCAGCTCCATGTCCCTGTTCAGTATGCTCCTGGCCTTTCATGCCCCAAAACCCAAGGGTCACCCAGTCTCTAGATCTGCTAGCTTGGGTCTCAGGAGGCCTGAGCTTTGAGGTGACACTTGAAGCTACAGATCCTGGGTGCTGAGGCCATCAGCCAGTGCATAGCCAGGCAAGATCTCCTGCCAGGTGCCCCAACCCCTATATCCTAATCAGAGGCAGGCAGGCAGGGTGTGGCTAGGTTGGGCTGGGCAGCTTGGGGCAAGGGTGTGGTCTTTTAGTGCCCCCCACACCCTCAGAGACATCCCCATTCTTGAGCCTCCAGTGACAACTCTGGACCCAGCAGAGGTAAGGGGCAAATTAGAGGGGCAAGTCCTGGAAGGAGCACATGGCAAGGGTTGGGTCTCAAGGTACTCTCCTGGACATGTCCCTTTTGGAAGATGCCTTCAGTTTCTCCTGCAATCCGGGTCCAAACCACTCGAGCTCTTGGGTGGGGTACTGGGAAGATTCTTGATGGCCTTTCTATTCAAGACAGGAAAACAGTGGCCTTTCCTCCCATATTACAAATGAGATCTGGAAGGGGAGGAGACGGGGGGGGGGGGGGGGGGGGGGGGAGTGGGGGAGCTTACTCAGTAAGAATCCGGGTTTCAGTCCTGACCTTCCCAGTTCTGTGGGAAGGAGCAAGAAAAAAGCATTTGCTTTTGCCCCTTCAGGGTATGGGGTGGCACAACCAGTCTGTCACCTGGACATTGAGATCCGTGGTTATACCACCACATCTGTCTCCCCTCCAGGTTATCCCAGTATGCCCTGATCATTATGTTGTGGGGGATTAATGGACAAAGTATGATCTTTGCGTGTAAGTGGATGCTCAATAAACATTAGTTGCTGCGTTTTTCTCGGACTAGGCGGCCCAAATATGTCGGCGTGCACCCTACCTGCAATGTAGAGAGACAGATGGGAACGCCCGGGACTTAGGGCATGAAGGTGAGAATAAAGCGATCTGGGTCCCTAAAGGCTGGTTTCAACCAGTCTTTCAGGATAGTTAAGGCGGGCGTAGGTTTGAAGGCTGGAGTCGTGCACGCGGAACTCTCGGGCTCAGTTGGTGAACAGCCCGGGCATGATTGGAGAATGGACCGTCGCGCGGCAACGCGCGGAGCCGGCGGAAATGGGGCTGATGTCCCGCGGCGGGCCTGGGGGCCTCGAGCACCTTCGTCCTCCCGGGCCCGCCAGAGGTGGTGCCCAACCCAGTCCCTTCCCTACCACTCGGGGACGCGGCCCAGGGAAGCAGCCGGTGAGCACTAGTGGGCGGCGGGGCCGGGAGAGCAGGAGAAAATCCCGAGGCAGCGCAGGCCTCTTGGTCCTCAATGCCTGTCTTCAAATACTCTGAAATGGGAGATCAGGAGGCCGGAGTGGAGAGAGCGGCGGCCACTCCGCAGCTGACTTCCAGGCTCGGCGGCACCCGTTGTGGGTCTGGCCTGCAGACCCGAGCTTGGAGGGCGCTGAGCGGCCCCTCCTCCCCTCCAGGCGGGGACTAGCTAGAAGATTCCTGGAGCACCGCGGAGAGGCTCACACTTGTCCTTGACCCCAGTATAGTTTAGGTCGAAAACAGATTTACCACCTCCTTTTGAAATGAAAAAGGAAAGATTCACACAGGCAAGAAAATGTTTCTGGACAGGTTCTCTTATAGCCCAGATTGACCTCAAAGTCCCAGAATAGAAAAGGGTGACCTTGAATTTTTTTCCTTCCTGCCTCCACTTCCCTGTGACAGACGTGCACTGCTATTACCGGGTTTGTGAGGTTTGGGGGACTGAGTACAGGATCTGCAACAAGCTAGGCAAGCACCCTACCACCTGAATTACATTCCCAGCCAAAAAAGTAGTTTTTATTTTGTTTTTGGTTGTTTTGAACTTGGAGCCAATGTGAACTTTCACAAAGGAGAGTTTCAGCTATGATGTGTCCCTGGCCTCTTCTAGCTGGGCCACCCCTCAAGCCTGTCCATGCAGGGGAGGTAAGCAGTAGTTCTGCTTCTACTGAAGTCTGACTGGGAGTTCGGCAAAGAAACTTCCTGAGGCCTCTTTTTATTAAACCCATCCGGGAATGGACTGTTGTAGAACTGGCTTCTTCCTAGCACAGGCAGCTTATCCAGGTGTGGGCTGTTCTTTTAATCTTTAAAGATGTTTGCACTGCCCAGGTTTCTGCCTTCTTTCTCTCTCCAGCCTCTCACCTTCTCTTGTATCGATTGCCTGCTCTTTCATCTTTTGCTGCTGCTGGAATCCCAGCAGCCCAGTGGAAGCACACTTCAGTGGTTCTGGAGGCCGAGCTGGGAGTGAGGGTGGCAATTTGCCCCATAACTACTTTGAGTTCTCCCAGTACCCCACAGATCAGAACACCAACCTCTGCATCTGCCTTTTTCCTTTGAACTGAGATGCTTTTTGTTTTGCTTTGCTTTTTTTTAAAGGTAAACTTTAAGTGAAGCATTCTCTACAGAAAGGATGTGCACAAATTATGTATACAGCTCATTGAATTCACTCATTGTGAGCAGATTCAAAACTAGCCCCTCCCCAACATCTGTTTATAATCAGACCAAGGGCATTTCTCTCCCCACACTGTTGGAGCATTTTCCCTTGGTTCCTGTGAAGTGTTCCCCAGGAGAGTCAGATGGTATTTCACTGAGCTTAGGCTATGCTGAATTGACCGTTCCCTTTAGAGCTCTCAGTTTTGGCCTGGACTCAGAGCTTATATGAGACCCTAGGTCTAACCCTCAGTTGTAGAAAAACAAAACCTTTTTCTAAGTTGTTCATGCAAGGTCTCTGGGCCGACTTACCTGCTGGGAGGGGAGCAACTGCACAAGCTGCACAAGCCCTGGGCGTATGTCTGTGGGATGAGTACCCATCATGTCCAAGGGTTTTGCGTGAACCCTGGACCAGGAACCTTAGGTTCATCACAAGATCTGTGTTTCCTCAGGAAAGGATCCAAAACTGGGGGGTGAGGGGAGAGTTCATTGCTCAGGATTGCTATGTCCTTCACACTGGCAAGATGGGGTAGTGTCTAAGAAAAAGCAATTGTACCCCAACCCTGCTAACCACCCAGCAGTTCGGTTTAGCAGGAATGCCTATGAGGAATTCTACAGCCCCCAAATAGCTGCTCTCTTGGCTGCATCTACCAACAGTACTGCCTGGCTGCCAGGATGGAGAGACCACAGCCAGCACTGGAGGCCTAGCTGTGACACGGTGACTCACAGTGAGGTGCTCTTCCGAAATGACCATTTTGATGAGGGCCCGGTCCACCTGAGCCACTGGCAGTCAGAAGGCGTGGAGGGAAAGATGCAGGGGCCACAGAATGAAAGATTTGTAGCTGCTGTGGTGGTTCTTGATGTTCATCAAGATCCTGAGAGGCGCTGGGCGGTGGTGGCATACGTCTTTAATTCCAGCACTTGGGAGGCAGAGGCAGGCAGATCTCTGTGAGTTCCAGGACAGCTAGGGCTGTTACAGAAAAACCCTGTCTCAAAAAACAAAAACAAAACAAAGCAAACAAACAAAAAAGATCTTGAGAGGCCAAGAAGGCTGGTGTTTCCTTCAGAGAAAATGTATTGGCATTCTCCATGGAGAGTCCCATCTTGGAGTGTCTGATGGATTCCAGAGGAAGATGAATACTACTCAAAAGTACTTCAGGGGGGCAGAAAAGAGAGTAGAGGCAGCTCTGCCACTGAGCTACTTCTGCAGGCCCCCTTTCTTTTGTCTTTGTGGTTTTTGAGACAGGTTTTTCTGTAGCTTTGGAGCCTGTCCTGAAACTTGCTCTGTAGATCAGGCTGGCCTCAAATTCATAGAGATCCACCTGCTTCTGCTTCCCAAGTGCTGGGTGGGATTAAAGGCATGCACCACCACTTGCCTTTTTTCCTTAAGACAGAATTCTCACTACACTGACCTGGTTAGCCTTAATCTGACTCTGTAGACCAGGCAGGTCTTGAATTTACACTCTTCCTGCCTGATTTGTTCTCTGACCCCAGGGGCAGGAGGACATGCTGCTTGCTACAGAAGGAGAGGTTCCCTCTGAGTTCTAGGCCCTAGACCCAGTTCTAGGACCAGTGCTGTATGTGTGCATCTGATTTTCCTGAGCCCTAAACTAGTTTGTTTCATTTGCTTTTATTTTGTTTATTATTATTATTATTATTATTATTATTATTATTATTATTATTAGTGTTATTGAAGATCAAACTCAGAATGTTGGCCATGTTACACAAGCATTCTACCTTTGAAAATCATCCTGAGCTGGAGAGGTGGCTCAGCAGTTAAGAGCACTGGCTGCTTTTCCAGAGGACCTGCGTTTAATTCCCAGCACCCACATGGCAACTCACAACTGTCTCTAACTCCAGAGTTTCTGATTCTCTCACACAGACATACATGCAGACAAAACACCAATAAACATAAAATAAAAAATTATATAGAAAGAAAGAAAACTATTCCTCGCCCTCCAAAACAGATTTATTTTTTTTTAGATTTATTTACTTTATGTGTATGAGGTTTTGCGTGCATCACACGTGTGCCTGGTGCCCATGGATCTGCTAAAAGTGGAGCTATGGATAGTTGTGAGCCACCATATGCGTGTTGGGAATCAAACCAGGTCCTCTGCAAAAGCAACAAGTACTCCTAACCCCTGAGCTAGCTCTTCAGCCCCAGGTTTTAAACTTTTAATTCTTTTTTTTAAATATTTATTTATTATATATACAATAGTCTATCTGTGTGTATGCCAAAGGCCAGAAGAGAGCACAAGATCTCATTACAGATGGTTGTGAGCCACCATGTGGTTGCTGGGAATTGAACTCAGGACCTTTGGAAGAGCAGGCAATGCTCTTAACCGCTGAGCCATCTCTCCAGCCCCTAAACTTTTAATTCTTGCTTAAGTAAATCCTGTTTGTTGCTATTTGAGATGATGCCTTATTTTGCATTCCCACGTGCAGACCAGGATGGCCTTGAACTCATAGTAGTGATCTTCCTGCTTTAGCCGTCTGAGTACAGAAACTAGCTAAGAAACATACTTTTTTCTGTTTCCTCCTCCTCTTCTCACTCCTCTCTTTTTAAAGACTGGCCTTGAACTCCAGGTACACCTGCCTCCACCTCTCCACTGCTGGAATTACAGGTGTGCCTAACAGTTGGCTTCTTGTTTGTTAAAGCTAGGATTTGTGTACATGCTCAGACTGTGTGCATTTACATATGAAACGCAGAAGGAATCCTTTCTCTTTAGGTCCTGAAAGACCTCAGGCTCAGTCCACTTATCTATGGCGTCTGGGACCCTTACTTTGCCCTGCTTCAGGCTGCTTGGTTCAGAACATAAGGAGGAAGTAGCTTGCCATCGCACACATAGTGCTTCTTCCTGGGTCAGTGCTTGGAAGAGTTCAGTCCCTGTGAGATGCAGAGCCATGACCCAGTCTCTGCCACCGAATCCACAACTGTGCTTTCCCAACCTGTGGCCAGATGAATAAGCCTGGCACAGCATCTAGCAGCCACAGAGTGGCAGTAGCTCTAAACCGACACTCTCTTCTCTTCCAGGGCCCCCGGCATGGTGCTCAAGGCCTTCTTCCCCACGTGCTGTGCCTCAGCAGACAGTGGCCTGCTAGTGGGACGATGGGTCCCGGAGCAGAATAGTGCCGTGATCCTGGCAGTGGTGCACTTTCCCTTCATCCCCATTCAAGTCAAGAAGCTCCTGGCTCAGGTGCAGAAAGCCAGCCAAGTACAAGTGGCTGTGCTAGGCACCTGGTGCCACCGTCAGCAGGAACCCGAGGAGAACCTGGGGCATTTCCTAGAAGGCCTAGGTGCCATCTTCTCCCACGATCCCTGGTTGCAGCTATGCCGGGAGAGGGGTACCAGGTTCTGGAGCTGCAAGGCCACTTACCATCAGATGTCCACCAATCTGGGCACACCCACTGAAGACCAGGTCATGCTCATCTTCTACGATCAGCGCAAGCTGCTGCTCTCCTGGCTGCATCCCCCAGCAGTACTGCCTGGCTGCCAGGATGGAGAGACCACAGCCAGCACAGGAGGCCTAGCTGACGTCTTTGACACAGTGGCGCGCAGTGAGGTGCTCTTTCAAAATGACCAGTTTGATGAGGGCCCGGTCCGCCTGAGTCACTGGCAGTCAGACGGCATGGAGGCGAGCATACTTGTGGAGTTGGCGAAGCGGGCTTCGGGGCCTGTCTGCCTGCTGCTGGCTTCTCTGTTGTCCCTGCTCTCTGCAGCTAGTGCTAGCTGGTAGGTACAGCAGACTGGACAAGTAGAGCAAGAAGTTGATCCCCTGAGAATCATGGTCTCTCCCTCCCGTGTGTAGTGACATTGACAGCCAGAGAGTCCATCCTGAGGTGCTTGTTCTGGGAGCCAGTTTTCATCTTACCTTTCCTCCCTTTGCATCTCAGAGTATGTCCTAATAGAGGTTGTTGTTTCTGTGTCACTTCCTGGTCCAGCATTTTCCCCTGGTAGCCTGTGATTGTGTGAGGCCCATCAGTTTGGGAATAGAACAAACCACAGATACTTCAGGTGCCTAAAAAAGAAACCTGATGAACACAAAACTGGGTTATTATAGCTTTTAAACAAATTTATATGTATGAATATTTGCCTGCATTTATATATGTGTATTGTGTGTGTCAAGAGAGGGTCAGATCCTCTGGAACTGGAGTTCCAGATTGTTCTGAGCCACCATGTGAGTGCTGGGAATTAAGCCTGCATTTTCTCTATGAGCTCTCCTAGCAAGTGTTCCCGAACACTTCTCTCTTTAACTCATCTTGGTTTTGTTTATTTGTTTGTTCGTTTTGAGACAGCATCCCAGCTATGTGGCCTTGGCTAGCCAGGAACTCACTAAGTAGACCAGGCTGGCCTCAAACTCTGCCTCTTTTTCTTCTGGGAGTGCTGAGATTAAAGGTCACTATCTGCCCTTCTTGGAGTTCTTTGGCCTGTGAGGACATAGAGCTGCCCACTCCCCTGCTTCTTTGTCCTCCCCACAGCTGGCTTCATCCGCTGATATAGTTCCTCTCTAGGCCGGTCAGTTGTCTGGGATGGTAGTCCTCACCTAGGCTCTCTAGAGATTTAGAGAAGTTCCTAAGTCCTGGGAGTGCTGGGTAGCAGCATAGTTTAACTTGTGAATGAGAGCCTGGGGGCCTCTTTCTCTCACAAATGTTCTCTCTTAACTTTCTCTCTCAACTCTGCCTCTCTTTTTGAAATAAGGTAGTTTTTATGTATATCTCAAGCTGGGCACAAATTTGCTATGTAGCCATAGGTAACCTTTAGCTTTTTGCGGGGCCAGTGTGCCCTATGTAGTTATGACTGTCCTGTCCTGTAACACTTTATGTAGACCAGCCTGGCCTTGAACTCACAGATCCACTTCCCTCTGCCCCCAGAGTGCTGGGATTAAAAGTGCACACCACCACCACCCTGGGCAGGCGGTCTAGCAGCTTAGCTGTCTATTCAGCCTAAGAGGATGTTTTTCTTGGTGCTGCTGCCCGTAAGGACCAGCTGGAGTTCTCCCTCAGCACTCTCCTCCCTTTAGATCTTCAATCTGGTGTCTGGCCTGGGGTCCAGCTGACCTTTCCACTTTCCAGGAGCTCTGGGGACCTTGGGATACTTTCCCAGAAAGGAAGCCCTGGGTAACCTATAAGGATACATTTTAGGTTGGAGGAGCTGCTCGGGCTATCTTGATGTATGGTGGAGACTTTGTGGCAACCTTGGAATGAATAAGGTGGAGGTTTTTCTGGGCCCAGGTACCATTACATCAGAAAAGGTCCTAGTTTTCTTTATCCTCTCAGGGGACGCAAGAAAACTGAAGAGATGCTTGTTTATTGACTACAAACAGCAGCCTACCTATCAAGCAAGAGTCAGTGGTTGCTGGGCAGTGGTGGCACACGCCTTTAATCCCTGCACTCAGGAGGCAGAGACACACAGATCTGGCCAGTCTGGTCTACAGAGCAAGTTCCAGGATAGTCTCTAAAAGCTACAGAGAAACCTGTCTCAAAATTATGTTATGATGCTGGTGTACTGGCAAGGCTGTCACTACAGAGTCAAGCTCCTCTACCCTTCTCAACCAGCCCCAATGGTGTCGTGAGCCTGGGCCATGAAGGACTGACTTGGACTCTGGGAGTTTCACATGAGAGGTCACTGTGGTTGGCTATTTGAAAGGGAAGGCTCTGTTGAGGCTGCTCTGTGGAAGTGGGGCCTTTATTTTATTTTTGCATTTTTTATTGATATTTATTAGGCTCTACATTTTTCTCTGTTCCCTTCCCCCAAAGTCCCCATGCTCCCAATTTACTCAGGAGATCTTGTCTTTTTTTACTTTCTACTTCCCATGTAGATTAGATCTATGTAAGTCTCTCTTAGTGTCCGCATTGTTGTCTAAGTTCTCTGGGATTGTGGTTTATAGGCTGGCTTTCTTTGTTTTATGTTTAAAAACCACCTGTGAGTGAGTACATGTGATAATTGTCTTTCTGTGTCTGGGTTACCTCACTCAAAATAATGTTTTCTAGCTCCATCCATTTCCCTGCAAAATTTAAGATATCGGTTTTTTTTCTGCTGTGTAGTACTCCATTGTGTAAATGTACCACATTTTCCTTATCCATTCTTCGGTTGAGGGGCATGTAGGTTGTTTCCAGGTTCTGGCTATGACAAACAATGCTGCTATGAACATAGTTGAGCACATGTCCTTGTGGCATGATTGAGCATCCTTTGGATATATACCCAAAAGTGGTATTATTGGGTCTTGAGGAAGGTTGTTTCCTAATTTTCTGAGAAATCGCCACACTGACACTCAAAGGGGTTGTACCAGCTTGCATTCCCACCAGCAATGCAGAAGGTTTCCCCACAACCTCTCCAGCATAGTTGTCATCAGTGTTTTTGATCTTGGCCATTCTTACAGGTATAAGATGGAATCTCAGAGTTGTTTTGATTTTCATTTCTCTGATGACTAAGGATGTTGAACATTTCCTTAAGTGTCTTTCAACCATTTTAGATTCCTCTGTTGAGAGTTCTCTGTTTAGGTCTGTACTCCATTTTTTTTTATTAAATTACATGATCTTTTGGTGTCCAATTTCTTGAATTCTTTGTATATTTTGGAGATCAGACCTCTGTCTGATGTGGGGTTAGTGAAGATCTTTTCCCATTCTGTAGGCTGTTGTTTTGTCTTGTTGACCGTGTCCTTTGCTTTACAGAAGCTTTTCAGTTTCAGGAGGTCCCATTTATTAATTGTTTCTCTCAGTGTCTGTGCTGCTGGGGTTCTATTTAGGAAGTGGTTACCTGTGCCAATGCGTTCAAGTGTATTTCCCACTTCCTCTTCTATAAAGTTCAGTATGGCTGGCTTTATGTTGAGGTCTTTGATCCATTTGGACTTGAGTTTTGTGCATGGTGATAGATACGGGTCTATTTTCATTTTTCTACATGCTGATATCCAGTTATGCCAGCATCACTGCACCACTTGTTAAATATACTTTATTTTTTTCCATTTGATTTTTTTTTTTTTTGCTTCTTTACTGGGTCTTTTTTTTTTTTTTTTTTTTTTTTTTGGTTTTTCGAGACAGGGTTTCTCTGTGGCTTTGGAGCCTATCCTGGAACTAGCTCTGTAGACCAGGCTGGCCTCGAACTCACAGAGATCCACCTGCCTCTGCCTCCCGAGTGCTGGGATTAAAGGCATGCGCCACCACCGCCTGGCTATTTTTTGCTTATTTATGAAAGATCAGGTGTTCAAACATGTGTGGATTGATATCCAGGTCTTCTATTCTGTTCCATTGGCCCTCCTGTCTGTTCTCGTGCCGACACCAGGCTGTTTTCAGTATTGTAGCTCTGTAGTAGAGTTTGAAGTCAGGGATTGTGATGCCTTCAGAAGTTCTTTTATTGTACAGGATTGTTTTGACTATCCTGGGTTTTTTGCTTTTCCATATGAAGTTGAGTACCATTCTTTTGAGGTCTTTGAAGAATTTTGCTGGTATTTTGCTGGGCATTGTGTTGAATCTATAGATTGCTTTTGTTAAGATTGCCATTTTTACTATGTTAATTCTGCCTACCCAAGAGCATGGGATATCTTTCCACTTTCTGGTGTCTTCTTCAATTTCTTTCTTCAAAGATTTAAAGCTCTTGTCATACAAGTCTTCCATTTGTTTCGTTAGAGTTACTCCAAGATATTTTATGCTATTTGTGGCTATTGTGAAGGGTGTTGATTCTCTAATTTCTTCCCAGCCCTTTTATCATCTGTGTACAGGAGGGCTACTGGTTTTTTTGAGTTAATCTTGTATCCTGCTACATTGCTGAAAGTGTTTATGAGTTGTAGAAGTTCCTTGGTAGAATTTTTGGGATCATTTATGTAAATTATCATATCAGCATTGAGAGTTTGACGACTTTTTTCCAATTTGTATCCACTTGATCTCCCTTTGATGTCTTATTGCTTTAGTTAGGACCTTAAGAACTATATTGAATAGATATGGAGAGAGTGGACAACCTTGTCTTGTTCCTGATTTCAGTGGAATCTCTGGGAGTTTCAGGAGAGGGGCCTTTAAATCTTCCAAGGTCAAGTCCTGCTCCCTGCACCAAGGTTACACACAGCTCTGCACATCCCAGGAGTCCTTAGGTCCCTCCCGCCTCCGGCAGGGCTCTATGTGGGAATATGGCTCCTGTTGCTACCCTTTGTGCTCCTCCATGCATGTCCTGGCTCACATGGGTGCAGCTCAGGTGCTGTCAAGCACTTCCTCCTTGGCTTAGAGACATCTCTCTGAGCATCTGTGGAAATATTTTCATGCCTCCTTTTATTAGGAATTCAGTCTTGCTGGAAAGCCCAGCAGAACCTTGCTGAGCTGGGTTACAATTAGTAGGCCGGGCAAGTCCTAGGTGGGTGGGAGGTGACCTAATCCCCATTTTGGGGCCTTTTTTTTTTTTTGAGACAGGGTTTCTCAGGGCTTCTCTGTAGCCCTGGCTGTCCTGAAACTTGTTCTATAGACCAGGATGTCTTTGAACTCATAGAGATCCACCTGTTCCTATCTTCCAAGTGCTGGAATTAAAGGCTGGGTAGCTAACGGTAGCTAGGGTTCAGGTTAGAAGCCTCAGCGTAGCTAAAGGAATTTAGGGCATTTCTAGTCCAAGGATTACAGAGTGACTCCCACATGTGCTGTTTGAGTCATGTTCTTTATTCTGCTGGCTCTGGTTTTACCTCTGCAGCTTCTAGTTCTCTTTTATTTCAATTCTGTTCCAATTCTCCTTGCTTCTTTTTTCATCTAGTCTAAAAAATACTTTTTACAGGAGGTTTAATGGAATAAAAAAATGTTACAAGGGTCACATCTCACTGGTCATAGCACATTCCTTGGGTGAGTGATGAGGGCAGAACCATTTACCATGGCAACACAGAACTTCAAGGTTTCTGGTGTAAGACCGTGACCAGAAGCCAGGGACACAGCGCCCAGTGAGACAAGCTGTGAGACATAGTTCTTTTTTTTTTTTTTTAAGATTTTTATTTGTTATGTATACGGAGTTCTTGCTGCATGTATCCTGCAGGCCAGAAAAGGACACCAGTTCTTATTTGATCTTATTACAGATGGTTGTGAGCCACCATGTGGTTGCTGGGAATTGAACTCAAAACCTCTGGAAGAGCAGCCAGTGCTCTTTACCTCTGAGTCATCTCTCCAGCCCTAAGACATAGTTCTTTTATCAGCTAGACTTGGCAAGCAAAGAATTGGCATGATTTTTTAGTCTTTGTGTTAATAACCTTGGTTAGACACCTGTGATTCTGACCTTGTGCATAAGTGTAAAGTTTTTTTTTTTTTTTTTGAGACAAGGTTTCTCTGTGGTTTTGGAGCCTGTCCTGAAACTAGCTCTTGTAGACCAGGCTGGTCTCGAACTCCCAGAGATCCGCCTGCCTCTGCCTCCCGAGTGCTGGGATTAAAGGCATGCGCCACCACCACCCGGCCAAGTGTAAAGTTTTTAACTTAAGATTCATATACAAAAACCTTTAGTCTAGTTTGAACTTGCTCTGAGGTAAAAGTGAGCTAATTGTATGTAGTTTGTCTGAACTGAGGAGAAATTGTTGTTTTTCTGATATGAGTCTGAGTAAAAAGAATAAAACAGGCTTTTAAGTGTCTTACAGTTCTCATGGAACAAATGATCTAGTTATGAAGCATATCCTAGTATATTTTCTATATATCTAAAACATACAACTTAATAGGAAGTCATCTTCCTGTCCATCCACAGATATATGTGCCCATAAGATTGAGATGCAATCATAAGCTGGGTGGTGGTGGCGCACACCTTTAATCCCAGCACTAGGGAGGCAGAGGCAGTGAGTTCGAGGCCAGCCTGGTCTACAAAGCAAGTTCCAGGACAGCCAGGGCTACACAGAGAAACCCTGTCTTGAAAAACAAACAAACAAAAAGACTGAGATGCAATCATGAGATTATACATACATTTCATGTGACATTGCACACTACAGTGCAGGTATTGGGGAGACAACCATAGCTGCTTTAGCAACTGTGAAAGTACAGTCAGGAGCAACAGTTTCCAGAGTTGGTGGTCCTGCAGGCCCTGCCTGGAAGGGATTCTCCATTAGAGAATCATTCCTCTGGTGGATTGACATCTGAACGCTAGTTATCATCTTCTATGTACTTGTATACTTCCATGGCCTTCGATAGGTAGCCCTGACCAAGCTGACCTCAAACTCAGAGATCTGTCTGTCTCCTGAGCTGGAATTAAAGGCATGTGCCACCACTCCTGACTCACTTTTAGCCATTTTGAGACTTACTTTTTTTGTTTTGTTTTGTTTTTGTTTTTTTGTTTTGTTTTGTTTTTTCGAGACAGGGTCTCTTTGTGTAACAGCCCTGTCTGGCCTTGAACTCAGAGATCTGCCTGCCTCTGCCTCCCCAGTGCTGGGATTTAATGATGTGCGCCACCACCTCCCGGCCTGAGACTCATCTTTGTATTGGCTGGTAGGCCATACATTTCACACCTATGCATCCTTGCTTGGTCATGTTGACTTTCATACTTGCCTTGGCCTTGCTGAGCTTTGGAGTGGAACCAAAGAGCTTAGGCTGAGTGGATCTGGCTGGAAAACTAAGGAACTGAAGGCTGGAGCAGTCAGTCTCAGCCCTTATATTCTCCTCAGGCTGTGGAAGCTGTGGCCCCTTTCTTTCATCAGAAGCAAGCTCTCCACTTGTGAACAGCTCCGGCACCGACTGAAGCACCTCTCACTCATCTTTAGCACAGAGAAAGCCCAGAGTCCCATGCAGCTAATGAGGTATGGTTTCCTTTCCCAGGAAGGGTAGTATGGCCCAGCCTCTTCTACACCTCTGCTCTGCATTGTGCCTCCAGCCAGGCCTCTCTTGGGTCACAGGCTGTGTCTAGCTGTCTCTCAGCTGCTTTCCCCCATTTTGCTTCCAGGAAGGCCAACATGCTGGTTTCTGTGCTGCTGGATGTGGCCCTTGGCCTGCTGCTGCTCTCTTGGCTCCACAGCAATAACCGAATTGGACAGCTGGCCAACGCCCTGGTCCCCGTGGCTGATGTGAGTAGATTGGATGATACCCAGCATCTTGAGGGTGGGGGATCCTCCTAGGCAGTGCTCACCTGTCCTCACCCCAGACACATTCCCTAGGTGCTCTTCTTGAAGGTGGCAGTGTCTGGGGGCCATTTGTGGTTGAGGCTTTCATGGAACCCTTTTCTGTGCTCAGCTGATCTTTCAGATGAAAGGCAGCCTTGGGACACCTCAGTGCTCTGGGCTGTTGTTGGACTGGCCAGACTGCTCTTTCCCTGGAAACAAGAGGCCCAGGCCTGTCCTCTGTGCTCCCAGCGTTCCCATGCATTACATGTGCAGCACATCCATGCTGGTCCCTCCTGCTCTCCTCCACCTCCTTATTTCCACCGAGCCTCAGAACTTTTCAGTTCTCCATCTCATCTTCAGAGCCAAAGCCCTGTCTATCTGTCCTGTGGAAGCCTTCAGGGTCTGCCCATGGGCTCACTCTCTGCTCCATCAGTGCGGCTGTATGCCAGGTCTGTTTGTTGCCAGGCCTGGAGTCTGGAGGCAGCAGTGGGCTCCTCTCAGTTCCTAAATTATGAGTTATATGGAGCTCTTCCCAATAGGAAAGAGAAGCTGGGGTTGGGGCGGAAGGGGTTAGGCTGTTTCCACATTCTGTTTCTTGGCCAGCTTTGTCTGAATCCTTCTTTTTGCAAAATTGCAAAAAAATATATAAAAGCCATAAATATTTAATTAAAAAGTGGAGTCTCTTTCCGCTGCCAGGCTTTTATCCTTTAAATATTAAATAAGTCCTATTTATAAAGAAGGTTATGCTCTTCCCTAGTGTTCCTAAGACTTTTATACAGGGTTGCAAAAGGATTTGGGAAGAACATATAAGATACAGGAGCTATTCCTGTGGCCTCACCTTGGTGACCAAGTAGAGCATCCCTTAGCCTCCTTACTTCCCCCACTATGGCCAGTGTGGGCACTCCATCCTGGCAGCCAGGACCAGTTTTCCTGCTTACTGTTGAAGTCCCTCTGCTGTTTATTGAACTTGATTTGTTTTTTCTCTGAGTGCCCTGCTTTCCAGTGCTCACACTTGCTTCCCTAGACCCTGATAGGCTCACCCGAGGGACTAGCCATTGCTGGGTGGCCTCAACTTCTTGTAGCAAGTGACAAGAAGAGGTCTTTGACTGAGAGCTTCAGTATTCTCAGGCTCCCCTAAGTGGTTTGAATTGAGCCAGGGTCAGTCCAGGTATCACGGGCTTAGGTCCCTATGGTTCCAGGGCTAAAGTAGCAAGATAGTGAGCATAAAGGAAGTTATCAGGATGAGGTAGAAGTTATCAGGATGAGGTAGATGTCCCTGGAAACACATGCCCAAGGAATTCCTTTATGTACTCCAGCCTGTTGGGAGATGCCTCAGACAAGAATCTTAGGAATCATCTGTGGCCAGGGCTGGAGTCCAGTGGCACTGCTCCTATGCAATGTTAGAAGATACGATTTGCCAGGTGTGGTGGCGCACGCCTTTAATCCTAGCACTCGGGAGGTAGAGGCTGGCAGATCTCTGTGAATAGCCATCCTGGTTTACATACTGAGTTCCAGGACAGCCAGGGCTACATAGTAAGACCTTGCCCCTCCACCCCAGCACACCCACACTAAAAGACATGATTCTGAACCTTGGAAGTAAGGAAGTTTAGGCTGCCTTTGCCCTGCCCCAGATAGACTGGCTATGGTGGGAGCCCATCCTCAACCCACCCACCCTCTTACCTCTGTGACCATGTCATCCCTTCCCTGCCCCATGTCTCTGTAGCGCGTGGCTGAGGAGCTCCAGCATCTGCTGCAGTGGCTGATGGGTGCTCCTGCTGGGCTCAAGATGAATCGGGCACTGGATCAGGTGCTAGGCCGCTTTTTCCTGTACCACATCCATCTGTGGATCAGTGAGTGCCTGATGGGCAGGGTTGGGCAGCCCAGCAGGGCACCCTAGCCAGGCCCCATCCCCTCTGCTTCCATTTTCTGGCCTCCCATTTGTATGAAGCCAACTGTGTTGGGCCAGCTGCTCAAGTCAAATTCTGGGGCCTGTGGCTGGGTCCGTGCTCACTTGTGTCCTGAAGTGTTAGGTGTCCATTCTCAGGCACTGGGGCTCCCTGTGCCTTGCTGTGCACTTCTCATGGCTGACCTCCATCCTGCAGGCTATATCCACCTAATGTCCCCCTTTATTGAGCACATCCTGTGGCATGTGGGCCTCTCAGCCTGCCTAGGACTGACTGTTGCCCTGTCCATCCTTTCGGACATCATCGCCCTCCTTACCTTCCACATCTACTGCTTCTATGTCTACGGTGCCAGGTATGTATATGTTCACATGTAGTTTTCTAAGCCGTGGGCACTCAACAGGATCTGAGCAGATGGGTGAGGTGTGGCACAGGCCCCCAGCTGGCCCTCATGAGCCTGTGTCCTACAGGCTGTACTGCCTGAAGATCTATGGCCTCTCCTCTCTCTGGCGTCTGTTCCGGGGGAAGAAGTGGAATGTTCTGCGCCAGCGGGTGGATTCCTGTTCCTATGACCTTGACCAGGTACCTACAGCTTTGAGCCTGCTGACCTGGTCAGGGCAGCTACTTGGACACTATCAGTGACCAGCCTACTGCTATCCTGCAGCTGTCTTCCAGCAGCTGGCCTAGGGGGAGGTACCAGCAGACTTTCCCCAGGTGGACATAGGGCCTGCTTTGGCTTACTCCATTTGCTTACCTAGACCTGCTACACCCATTTTCCTAACCTCCTATTTGCCTGTGTCCCCTGCTGGCTGTTTCCCCACAAGCCACCAGGTCCACAGGATATGTGGACACATCCCTCATGGTAAAGGGAACATCTCCTGACCTTGCTGGCTCAGGAGGCAAAAAAATCCCAACTGCAGTTTAAGGATGGGTGTGTGTGGCCAGTGATGGAGTGGCCTCCCCTGGTCTGGGTCTTGTGATACCAAGTGTGCCGGTCCTTGTTCCCCACAGCTTTTCATTGGGACCTTGCTCTTCACCATCCTGATCTTCTTGCTGCCTACCACCGCTCTGTACTACCTGGTATTCACCCTGGTGAGCCCAGTTCCTCCAACCCTGGGGCCTACAGAACTTAGTCTAGTCAGTGCTGGAGCCAGTCACATAGGGCACTGTTCTGAACTCTAACTATGTGCTGGTCTTAAAGCAGTTGGGGGGGGGGGGTCCTGTCCTGGGGATGGCTGGCTACAGGGGAGGTCAGGACCCATAGTGGGTAGATGAGATCATAGAAGAGCCCTCCTTTAGTGCTGAGCACCAGGGTGGACAGTATGAGATAAGCGACACCCAGGTGGCTCAAGCCCTCCAGGTTTCTGTAAGTGTCAGGAATGTGAATGCACAGTCTCTACTAGGAAGGGGTGCCAGCTGTCCTGCTGCCAGCCCTTTAGTCTCCTTAGGGTGGAGTCTATGCTTTCCGAGGGTTCCTGACCCTTTGGTCACCCTTAGTGAGTGTAGCTCAAGAGTCTGTCGGGCTACTCTCCTCCTAGTCTGTCTAATGTGTGGCAGCTTCAGCCCCAGTTAGTGGCCCTGAATGTCGCTTTTGCTACAGCTCCGGCTCCTGGTGATCACTGTGCAGGGCCTAATCCATCTACTTGTGGACCTCATCAACTCCCTGCCTCTATACTCCCTTGGTCTTCGACTCTGCCGACCCTACAGGCTGGCTGGTAAGTTGGGTGCTGGGTGCCTGGCTTCTGACAGATGGTACAACATACCCACAGGCCTTCCACCTGTGCCATGTGTCTCCTGCCTGAATGAATTGTTTATGTGGTGTGGGTGAGCAGAGCAGTGAAGATAAACTTGGCCCTGGGAACATGCAGTCTGCTCTCTCTCCCTAAGAGTAAAGTTCAGAGACACAAAGACCCAAGGCCTCATCCTTCCTGTGGTTTGGAAGGCTTGTTGCAGGGTCTGTGCTCAGAGAGTCTGTCTCCATGTAGTTATAGGCTATGCCTCTGCTCTTTGATGACCCTCGCCCTTGGAAGCAGGCCAGGATGAGGGCTGCTGCACTGTGAGAGGATCACCCTGCATTGCCTGTAATCATCACCTAGTACCCAAGCTGTCCTCTAAATCACTGCGTTCTGATTCCAGAATCCTTGAGGGAAATCTAGCTCTTTTAGGCATGAGGTTTAGGCATGATAACCCATTTATCTCTGGGACTTTGGACACAGCAGGACCTTGGGATTACATGGTATAGCCAATGTTCAGCACTTGGGATCACCTGGTATAGCCAATGTTCAGCACTTGGGATCACCTGGTATAGCCAATGTTCAGCACTTGGGATCACCTAGCATAGCCAATGTTCAGCACTTGGGATCACCTGGTATAGCCAATGTTCAGCACTTGGGATCACCTGGCATAGCCAATGTTCAACACTATTTGAGATGATTTCTAAGGTGACCAGTGTGCTCATTTGACTCTTCCAGCCAGCTCAGAACCATCCGATAGGGACGTACAGGTCTTGGCTTCGAACCTATATCTAGGTCTGCCTGCAAGCATCTTTGTGCTGCTGAATGCCTATAAAACATTTTGAAAACAACCTTCTAGCTAATTTCTCCGTTAGCTTCAGGAGGCCCAGGCAAGAGACTTATTTGCAATGTTGCATGCGTGCCCTATGCATCTACTTCTTTACCTCAGACACAAACACAGGTGGGCCACAATAGACCCAGACCCAGCCTGGAATGCAGGGCCTTCTCCCTAGCCTGAGCCAATAGCTTGGGCAGGGTAGTTAACTTTGCTTAGCAGGCCATGGTTTTGTCCCTTCTCACATCACTGGCTTCAAGGAAGCTTCATTTCCTGCCTTTTTGTTTTCTAGACAGGGTTTCTCTGTGTAGCCCTGGCTGTCCTGGAACTCACTCTGTAGTAGACCCCATTGGCCTTGAATTGAACTCAGAGCTCTGCCTGTTTTTTTGCCTCCTGAGTGCTGGGATTAAAGGAGTGCACCACTGTTGCCTGTCTACTTCCTGCTCTTTCTTAAGAACTTTCTTCCTGGGGCTGGAGAGATGGCTCAGAGGTTAAGAGCACTGACTGCTCTTCCAGAGGTCCTGAGTTCAATTCCCAGCACCCACATGGTGCCTCACAACCATCTGTAATGAGATCTGGTGTCCTCTTCTGGCCTGCAGGCATACATGCAGGTATAACACTGTCTACATAATAAATAAATAAATCTAAACAAAACAAAACAAAACAAAAAAACATAATGAAATTAAAAAAAAAAAAAGAACTTTGTTCCTGGGCATTTCCTAGACTGGGAGACCAAACTAAAAGCCAGGGGTGCTGTGGGTCCCCACATCAGCCAGACTTAGAAACTTGAAGTCAGTTAAGACACTGAACCATTAATAGGGCATCTGCTACCCAGCCAAGAGGCAGATGGGAAAGGTGGAGAAGACAACCATGTGTGCTTAGACAGACCTGCTGCCACCTGGGTGGGCTCAGAGGGGCTTTTATTGTAGAAATTGCCATCTCAATAGCCTCTGCTAACTCACAATGGGACCAATGAGGCTAACTGGGGGTGGACATTTGCTACCTTCTTTCCTAAGTACCTTGCTTTCCTTATAGCTGGTGTGAAATTCAGAGTTCTGGAACAGGAGGCAGGCAAGCCCCTGCGCCTCCTGATGCAGGTAAGAACTCCTGCCCTTCACTGCTGCTCAGACCTGGGACACCCCCCCCACACACACAATGTTCTGCCTGTGTTCTGGGACAGCTGGGGTCAGCTGGTGTGATGCTTTGGTGGTATATCAGCCAGAGGTCAGAGACAGAAGGGCCCAGTGGGGCTAAGGGGTAGACATCTGAGTATCATAACTCACTGTGTCTAGAGCTTCCCCCTCAGGGTTGTGGGACACATATTGTGGTCTACATAGTTGACATTGATATCTAGTCTGGCCTGTGAGTGGGGTCCCATTGTGCTCAAGGTTGTGATGAAGCAGAAATGGCTTAGCAAAGGCCTCAGGACAAACAGTCACTTCCTGTTGGACTTGAACCTCTGGCTCTTTCATTGTTTAAGTCTTGGGTCTTGTTCCCAGTGGGAGGGAGCAGAATGAGTTTTGGGGTGGCTAACCAGGTGCTGAATTGTATTTTGGTCCTAGTCCAAGTGTCATGTCTCTCAGATGCTGAAGCATCTGCAAGGTCACCCTTCCCAGCTCCCAGACGGAGTAGATCCTAGGATAGTGCATTACTGCCCAAAAGGGACGTGGAGCTCCCCATCACCATCCCTTTCTCGGGGAAGCAGTGCTATGTGGCCCGCTTCTCTGCTGGTCAGCTTAGCTATCTCACAGGCAGAGGTTTGTCAGGGCCTAGCTGGCCTTGCTCTATAATTGCCTAGCCGAAGATTCCCCAGAGAGGCAGTCAGACCCAGGATGCCAACCCTCAAGACCCTATAGACACAGCTGAAGCACCTATGACCACCCACCCTACTAATAATTACCCTTTCCTTGCAGATAAACCCCTTGCCCTATAGCCATGTGGTGCACACCTACCGCCTGCCTAGCTCTGGCTGCCATCCCAAGCACTCCTGGGGTTCCCTGTGCCGAAAGCTGTTCTTCGGAGAGCTCATCTACCCCTGGAGGCAGAGAGAGGACAAACAGGACTGAGGATCTGGACACAGCCTACCCATAGCAACTGCACAACCATCGCGCTTCCTCTCTGCCAGGATAGCACTGACCATGGGTGGTTTATCTCAGGTCCTACATGGTCCAACCAGACACTGTGTACTGAATGTAGGCAGGCCTCATCTTTGAGTTACTACTCTAGCTCTCAGGCCCTGTCAGCTCCATTCCTGCACGCCATCTCTAGCACAGTGGTTCTCAACCTTTCTAATGCTGTGACCCTTTAATACAGTTCTTCGTGTTAAGATGACACCCAGACTTACATTTTCATTACTACTTCATAATTGTAATCTTGTACTGTTATGAATTGTAATGTAAATATCTGTGTTTTCCTATGGTCTTAGGGAACCCCTATGAAAGGAGTTGCAACCCACAGGTTGAGAACCACTGCACTAGCATCACCTATGATCCCCCTGTTTGTTATGGTCATTGCAGTCATTGCACTGAGCCTGCTTCCTAGGAGGGCTCAGACTCTGGATATGCTGGCAGGTTTCCTTGACTGCTTTAGTGGGTGGGACCACTCCTGGGGTACCTGGTGCACTCCAGAAGCCTCAACAGAATATTCCCATCTGGGGAACTGAGGCAGCTCCTGATCCCCTGCCCCAGCAAACTAATCCCTCACTCTGTGCTTCACTGGGTTTGCTTGTTGCTGCTTCCTGGAGATCACTTTGTGAAGGTGCTGCTAATTGGCCACTGGGTGCCCTTTGCTTGAAGTCAGACCATGTGGGGTAATTGGGTACCTGCCCACCTGGCTGCTCTGCTCTTGCTGAGTGCCCCATGTGGGGATAGACCCTTTGGCAAAATATTTTCTTCTCTCATTGACTCCTTACAGGACCAGACAGCTCCCATCTGGACAGGCACTTTTGTGGCTCAGTGTGTGAATGACCTTGGGGAGGTGGAATGGCCAGGGTTTCCTGCCCACTTAGTAGGATCCCATGTGAACTAGTCCCTAGGGGGCAGGAAGGTGCAGCCAGCCCTGCCTGTCTCTCGGGCATTCAGGACACTCTACATTGGTTCGTCTGTGCCTGCTTCCCTTTGCTCTAGGCCACAGCAACCCTTAAGCACCCAATGGAGGGTTGGTGAAGATGGATCCTGACCCTGTGGTGACAATAAAAACCTCTCATGAATTTGGAATATCAGCTCAGGTGTGATTCAAGTCTGGCCAGGCTCTAGGTGCAGGCTGGATGGAGCATTGTCTCCATGATGACCACCATCATTTCCTGCCCGAAGTTTCTCCAATGACTGCTGGGTATCTGTGCAGCCGTAAGCCCTTGAAGACATCTTAGATCGATGAACAAACCTAGGGCCTCACCCTGGTTCCAGCAGCAGGCATACAGTCTGGTGGAGAAGGGGTGTCGGGGATGTGGGGTGTCTACTCGGAGCTCTGAGCATGTGAATTCCATACATGGCAGAGTACTGACCTGGACTGACAGAGTTTCTCTATGTAGCACTGGTTGTCCCAGAACTTGCTGTGTAGACCAGGCTGACCTCAAACTAAAAGATCTGCCTGCCTCTGCCTCCCGAGTGCTGGGATTGAAGGCGTGCACCACCACCACCCAATATGAACTAACAATACCATCTGCATGCAGTCTTGAGATGACTCCAGGCCTGGTTATGCAGAGGAAGCCCTCCTAGTCTGGGGCTCCACAAAGGAGCAGTAGAGGCCAGCTGGGAAGTGCCAAAGGGCCCTGTAGTCATGCACCCATCCAGAGCTCACTGAAAGTGGTGTCTGTCATCTGCGATCCTGGAGGTCACACTTTAGGTAGGCCCCACAGCTGTCTTGCCTTGGACCTGGGCTGCTTGATAACCCTTTGGGGTCCATCTGTACACAGGTGGCCATTTCCTGTATATGTATCCCTTTCCACTCTGCCTGGCCACCCTGACATCCTTTAGCTGCCTGTGTTCACCCCTTCACCCCTGGACTTCCATTAGGAGAAGGTGCTGAGCTCAGCCCAGCTGGCCCTTTTGCAGCCCTGTCATGAGATTTGCCTGGCAGCTTTCATTCTGTGCAGCAGAATACTGGGCTGTCTGCCCTTCTGGGGACCAGTCAGGACCTGGCACCAGAGCTGGCTGAAAGAACACTGGCATTAGAGCCACAAGAGTTGCTTTTTGCAGAGAGCTGTGTCTGTGGAGGTTTTCTGATTATTCTCAGATATAGCTCATGCATTTGTAACAACAAGGATTGTTGTCTCTGTGGGCATTTCCTTGGTAGACAGGTGCCTAGTGCTGTCAGACTGGTGGCTTTTCCCGGGAGCTGCCAGGGTTCCTATCACAAGCTGCCTTCCTTTGTAACTAGAAGCTTTGAAATCGGCTCTCCTAGAAGATGCAGATTTTTGATTGTGTGAATGGGTACTATTGAAATTTGATCCACTTACTAACTCTACCTAGGCCTGGAGCTTGATGTGTAGATCAGATTAGCCTCATGAATTTGCCTATCTCCCAAATACTGGGATTAAGGTTTGTGTCACCATGCCTGACTTTACCCCGTGTAACTAAAAGCTTGTCTACAGATATGTGGGACACGAAAATGGCCTGCCCTCCTCATTCTTTCTCTACTAACTGCAATGTCCATCCAGGTGTCTGGATCTGTCTACTATGAGAGGCTTGTGTGGCCGCTCCTTGCTGCCAAGCTAAGGCCAGGACTTCTGAGTAATTGAAACTTCTATTTTGAAACAGGGTCTCATGTATCTGAGGCTGGTCTCAAGCTGGCTATGTAGCCGAGGATGACTTTGGCTGATGATCTGCCTGCCTCACTTCTTGAGTGTTGGGATTACAGTTTTGTAACACACAGTTTATGCACTGCTAAGGAGCAAACCCAGAGTATAATGTGTGCTAGACAAACTATCAGCTGACTTCTGTTTCCAGCCCAACTGAATTGTTTGTGGGTACTTCTGAGCTTCCTGGACATGGGTTGCAGGACCCAGGGTCTGTCCCTTTGTATGATTCCCAGAGCTCTCTGAGGACTTAGGGTCCTACCCCAGGGTGGGGAAGTTTGTCTGTTCTAATTATAACAAAATGCAGGAGACCAATTTCTTTATGGATAGAGGTTTATTTGGCTTGTCCAGAGTCTGTGAATCCAATCACACAGTCAGCAGCATCTGGTTGTGGGCCTTTTTTGTCAAAACCGTATGGTACTAGTCATCACATGGTGAGAACAAAACATGTGTGCTAGCTCAGCTCTCCTCCTAAAGTCACTAATGCCACCATGGGAACCACCCTCATGACTCCATCTAAGTCTTACTGCCCATGAGTCCTGCCTCACAAATTGTGAAAAAGGTGAGCCACCATGCTGGCTCAGTGCACTCAGACTCAAAGGTCCATCTCTGTTCATGGAAATAGTCTCAAGGAAAGCCTCAAAATAAAGTATAACCAGTTCTCTCAGTGTTATAATATAGTCAAGTCAATATTGAATTCACCTGCTATAGGCTGTCTGTGATGTACAGTCTCTGGAAAGGGGGACTGTACTTTTCCCCACCATCCCTTCCAGAGAGTCAGCATCCATGGATGAGTCTCACTGTTTCAAGGCCCACATCTCTGAAGAAAGGCTCTCACAGACATTACTGCTACTTCAGAGAGTGAGAGCCATCAGAGCATAGGCTGGCCTCAAGTCTGGGCACAGTGGCCTCTACAGGGGAGGATCTCCCTCAGAAGCAGGTTCTGGTTCTTTAGGGACTCAGTCCTCAACTCCTCATCAGCCAAAGGTCAGGACTTTCTGGGTTCCTGTTGACCTGTGGATGGGTGTGATGTTCTTACTAATATGTGACCTAGAGTCCAGCCAATGGCCACCCCTGGGCAAAAAAATATAGCCTGAAGAAAAGTGCAGGTTAAGAATTTCTGGGATCCTTTGAGATTAAGTGTGAGTTGAGAGCCGGGCGGTGGTGGCGCATGCCTTTAATTCCAGCACTCGGGAAGCAGAGGCAGGTGGATCTCTGTGAGTTTGAGGCCAGCCTGGTCTACAGAACTAGTTCCAGGACAGCTTGAGTTGTTACACAGAGAAACCCTGTCTCAGGGAGAAAAATCAAAACAAAAAGTGAGCTGAGAAGTCCTGTTGGAAGGCCTCAGTGTGGTTCTGCACTCCTGGGCCCAGGAGCCTCCACCCAACATACTCTGACCAAGAGAATAGCAGGAAAGCCTATCCTTGAAGGCGGGTGAGGAGAGCTCTCTTACTATTTCCCTGCCACTGGCCTCTCACAGAAGCTTCCCTGAATAATGTATCAAACCATGTGGCAGTGTCCACAGGGTCAAGATGCTCATAAAGGCCATGTCTTCGACTTTGGAGGGAGATGGTCACACAGTGTGTGGCTGCCTTGAAGGGTACCTGCCGCTGGAGGCAAGGCCTAGGTTCAGCGATCCCTTGGGGGAAAAGAGGAAAGACCCCTCTTTATGTCCTTCTGTCTGTCTATGCTTGAGCAGGGTTTCTCTAGGCCAGGCCTTGAACTTGAGACAGTCCTCCTGCTTTAGCCTCCCAAGTGTACTGGGATTAGAAGTGTGAGCCACCATGCCTAGTTGGTGTGTGTGTGTGTCTTGCTATTCTTGAAGGATTGTCTACTGACCTCCATTCTTTACAATCTGGGAACACCAATCAGTGAAGTTGTCACACAGCTAAAGAAACAGTTTTAGTGTGGGAGTCTGGTAGCTGTCCTGGCTTTTCCACATGCTTGTCCCACGATGGCTCAGCATCTGCTGTAAACTGTACCTGCTGTTCTATGGCTGCCGGACATGGCAACTCAGCTTCGTCCAGCTTGGCCATTGTTGGCATGAGGATCTTAAAAGGTTTATTTATAATTCTAGAAATAATGTGTGTCTGTGTGAGTGTATGTGTATATGAATGTGGGTACCCAAGATGGGCAGAAGTGGGCATTGGATCCCCTGACAATGGAGGTGTAGGTGTTGTGAGCTGTGGGATGTGGTACTAGGAACCAAGCTCCAGTCCTGCACAAGTGCAGCCACCATTCTTAACCGCTCAGCCATCTCTCCAGCACCATCCTTTAAATCCAGGGTTTTGTTTTTGTGGCCCAAGCTGGTCTTGAACTCATGGCAATCCTTCTGCATCATCCTTCTGAGTACTAGGACTATAGAGGCAATCAGTCTGTTTGGGAAGAAGTTCTTGCCTGGTCCTGTTCCTGACCTTCCCAGCAGTCAGGGAAGATGTCAGCTGTGGACATGCTCAATACTCCACGGGCTCCTGATCACTGTGGTAGCACCCTGGCTTTTCCTGTAAACTTGTATTTCAGAAAGTGTTGACTGTTCATTCGTCATATGAAGAAGCAGCACCCAAGTTCCAGGGGCTGCATCTGAGTCAACTTTGCTGGAAACGTCTCTTTTGGTCTCCTTTACCAAGTAGCCGGATTATAAATTTGTGCCATCACACACAGCTTATCATTTTCTTTTCTTTGTTTTTTTTTTTTTCTCTTTTCTTTTTTTGAGACAGGGTTTCTCTGTGTAACAACTCTGGCTATCTTGAAACTTGCTTTGTAGACCAGGCTGGTCTCGAACTCACAGAGATCTGCCTGCCTCTGCCTATGGAGTGCTAGGATTAAAGGTGTGCACCACTACTGCCCAGCTCTTAAGACACGGTTTCCTTGTCTGACCTGGAACTCTGTAGACCAGGCTGGTCTCATACTCACAGAGATCCACCTATCTCTGACTCATGAATTCCGGTATCAAATGGCTTGGCTATCACCTCTGGCCAAGATTCATTCCTTTTTTAAAAAATGACTTATTAGCCAGGCAGTGGTGGCACAGGCCTTTAATCCCAGCACATGGGAGGCAGAGGCAGGTGGATCTCTGTGAGTTAGAAGCCAACCTGTTGGTCTACAAATCGAGTTCCAGGACAGCCAAAAACATAAATAAATAAATAAATAAATAAATAAATAAAAATTAAAAAGTATTTTATGTGAAGGGTGTTGTGGAATATTATTTTAAGTAGGCAAAGATGTGTTAAATTTGTTTATGCTGGATAGTATTACTTTAACTATGCAAAGGTGTGTTACGTTTTTTTGTATATGCTTTGTTTAATTATGTAAAGATGTGTTGCATTTGTTTCACCTTGTCTGCCTGAGGAACCTGGTTGGTCTAATAAAGAACTGAAAGGCCAATAGCTAGGCAGAAGAAAGGACAGGCAGGCCTGCAAGACAAAGAGATTAAGTAGGAGAAATCTAGGCTCAAAAGAAGAACGAGAGAAGGAGGGTGACATCTAGGGCAAGAAGCCAGGCAGATGCCAGCCAGACACAGAGAAGCAGTGAAGGTAAGATATACAGAAGAAATGTAATAAGCCCTGTGGCAAAAGGCAGATAAAGAGATTAAATAAAAAGCTAGCCAGAAACGTGCCTAAACTAGGCTGAGCATTCAAAACTAATAATATGTCTGTCATGGTTTGGGAGCTGGTTGATGGCCCAAAAGAAAAAGCCTGTTGTGTATGTCTGTGATCACGCGTGTGCCTGGCGCCTGTGGAGGTCAGAAGGTGTAAGATGCCCTGAAACCAAAGTTACAGACAGTTGTAAGTCTTCACATCTGTACTGGTGTTGGGAACTGGGACCAGCATCAAATGCTCTGACGTGCTGAGTCAGCTCTCCGTCTAACCTCTGAACATTCGGAGAATGTTCAGGAAGTGTGCCCAGACAAGCCTGTGTGGAGGTCAGAGGACACCTTTCAGAAGTCAGTTCAGGCTTTCCACCTTGTTAAAACAGGGTTTCTCCTGATCCATCGCTTGCTGCTTATTCAAGGCTAGGTAGCCCCCGAACTTCTGGACAAATTCTGACTTTACTTCCTTTCTTACAATAAGAGCCGGGGTGAGGGGTGGGGGAAATTACAGATGGAAAGCCACAGGAGAGAGAGCGAACTCCTATCTTCGGGCTTCCATCGCAAGCGCGTTGGCCCTAATCTGTGTTTACTTTTTGAGTTTCTTGCAATTGATGACAAGGCTTGAGAATGCACTCATGAAGAACGTTGTCCGTGGCCCTCCAGTCTTAGAACTGGCCGACGAAGTGCACCTGCGAATAGTTGTCCACCGGGCCAACGCTGTCCGTAGCAGGTTCACGCCTTCAGGATACCCATTGAGTCCCTGGAAGTGCGGCTCCGAAGAGGACTTCAGCAGTCCGCCCACGGCCTAAGCACTCCGCGGCGGCTCCGCCCACTCCCCCAGCCAGGAGGAAGTCCCGCCTGCTAGAACAGCCCACCTGGGAGAGAGCCTCGCCCCCGCCGCGAAGATCGCTAATTGGCTGCCCCCGCCCTGCCCCCGGGGAAAGCGAGCCCGAGGTTGTACATGCAGGTCGCGTTTCTTTCCTTCTGGGGTCTGTGAGAGCGGCCACCGCCGTTTGGTAGATAGCCTGGCCCTCCCGCATTCAGCCATGTCGCCTTAGGCAGCAGCTATCGCTATCCTGCGGCTTCTCCACAAAGGGGGAAGGGCAGAGTTGTGCAATGTTTGACTCTTGATTGGCGAGAATGAGGAAAGGGGTGGACCTAGAAGGTTATGATCGATAGGAGACGGCACAAATGCCTTAGCAGCAGTAGCCAATAGTGATGGCGAGGGGGGCGGGAGGCCAGGGTGTTGCAAGTCCGTGAACCCGGCCGCGACGGCTCTGAGGTAGTCTGCAGGAAGCCGTAGGGCAGACAGACGTGCAAGGCGACCAATGATTTCAGGAAAGTCAGGAGGAAGTGACCAATGGTCACAGTGAGGAGGCGGGGAATAGCCAGCCACCGCAACACTGTGTACGAAGCGGCGGGGAGGGGACTGCGTTGACGGACAAGGGTATAGACCAACAGTGGTGGGAAAGAGGGTGGCAGGAGACCAATAGTAGTGGCGAATGGGTAGGGCGGGGCGACCGGGTGCTCAGAGGCACAGTGTGTGTGTGGGGAGACGTGGGGGCGGGGCGACCGTGACGGCCAGGCTGTCAGGCCAATGGTCCGGGGAGGGCCGGCGGAGGGTGGCCAATGGCGGCTGCGCATCCGGGGGCGGGGCTGCGGGGCTGCGCGGGGCTGTGCGGGAAGCGGTGGGCGGCGGCGGCTGGGAGGCTGAGGTGAAGCTGGCGGCTCTGGGGCGGGTGCACTGGGGGAGGTGGCCAGTGGGCGGGAGCATTAGCGTGGAGACCGCACGGCCGCTCACCAGCCTTCGCCCGCAGGTCTGGCGGCGGCGCCGTGGGCCGCGGTGCGGCGGGCGGGAGGATGGGCACCCAGGGCAGCCCAGTGAAGAGCTACGATTACCTGCTCAAGTTCCTGCTCGTGGGCGACAGCGACGTGGGCAAGGGCGAGATCCTGGAGAGCCTCCAGGACGGCGCAGCCGAGTCCCCATACGCCTACAGTAACGGTAGGCCGGGTTTGACGGTGGGCGCGCGGGGCGGGAGCGGCCTGGCGCGGGCGGCCTCTGCGCGTGTCCCTGCGGTCCCCTCCGGTCCTGTCCCG